GAATTTACCCAAATGTAAATATATTGGAGACAAAATTGATTTTGTTGCATTGACTGTAGTCACTGGATGTTGAGATATGATATGCTTGTTGGGATTTATATGCCCTGATATAGCAAATTCCTATCTGGATTATAGTGACATATGTTCCTGACGTTTCTGAAATATTTATACTTTATACAATTGGTGAATTCAATGTATTATGTTTTGATTCATTATAGAATTGAAAGTGTCAACTTGATTACAAGAGATATTTATATATATATGTGATGGCGATCAATACATGATTATAAATAGTAATCATAAATTGTTCATAGTCGGTAATTATGGATGGACTCATAATTAATTAAGACGTAAACTGAATCCACGTTAAGTTGAGATATATTGCGAAAGCCGTCGTATACAATTGCTCCCTATCATTGTCATGACATTTGACTCTTAAGTATGAGAAAAGTATAAACTCTTTTATTAATTAATAATTACTTTGATTTGTTCGGCGGATTCTTCGGGATCCTTAGACCGACACTTTGGGTAGTTATATAATTAATAATTAGATGGTTATATTTTCAATATTTGTATCATTATTACTTGTATTTATTTTGTATTGATTATGGTTGATCACAAAGTAAATTCGTAGGCTTTCGTGTGTTTTTAGACAAAATGATTTATTATATATTTATTTATTTAAATTATTATTTTTGTCAAATAAATGTTTTATTGTGATCGAGCCAGAAATAATCAATGGTACCAAAATAAATATATTAATTAAGTAGTCGGATTGATGGCTTTATTTATCCAATAACTAATTATGCATAGAGGGGTCAAAGTGCAATATTGACTTAGAGGTTATTTATTATTTAATTGGAGTTCAATTAATTTCTTTTAGTGGAGTAGAAATTAATTTATGAATTAATTGAATTGGGTCCATGAACCGGGCCAATTAATAATTCATTATAGCCAATAAAATAATAAGCCTAAAGGATTCTCACTCATAGCCCAACTTGATATTGGAATCCTATTAGATTTGAGACATGTGAATTAGAGATTGAGAAGGATTTATTGTTTCATTTTCTTTATCTTTATGTTGCCTATAAATATACATGGTTTATGTATATTTTAGGGGTGATTTTTATGAGAAGGAAAAAAAAAGAATATATTTTCTCTCTCTAGAAAATTAGGGTTTATGTTCTCATCTAATGGAGGCTCCCACAAGTCTAATTTTCCAAGGTCATTCATGGAGGCTTATGAATGATTCCTAAAGGCAAAACAATTACCCAGAAGATGGAAATCCAAGGAGAAGACATCTTGTTAAGGGATCTATAATAAGTGAGAACATTCACTTTAGAGAAAAAATTTAAAGGTTTACTCAGACCTTTATTGTAAGTATTCATTCTAGTTTTATTGAATGAGATATCATATTTTATTTTTGTATAAAACTTGTCTCTATGTGATAAATCAAGATCTATGAAATCAAAATCCTTTAAAAAATTTTAAAACTAGCACGTTTCCCAACAATGCTTTCATTAGGCAGACGCTTAACACCAGTTCCATGCACAAGAAAGTGGTTGGGGATTCGCATCATTCATGCCTTTTAGTAAACTGTGTGGCTCTGGTTGAGGTTATCTTGTGAACGATGCATGTGTAGTTGAAGTTGATTTTCCTGGCTTCCGATCAGTTGAACTTAAGGTTGAGGAGGCGAAGACTGCCTTGGCCAAAGGTGAAACTACCAAGTCTTCTTCTCAAGGGGATATCGAAGGGAGCACAAGATAGACTGCTTCTGGTACTGATACAATCTTGCCTCAGACTGATGCCTTGAGCCCTCCTCCTGCCAGTGAATCAGCAACCAAAGTGATCAAGGCTTTGGTCCCACCAACCACTCCAATTGTTGGAAGGAATCAACGGCTAATTCCCCTCAGGCCCAAGATCTGGTCAGCTGCTTTTCTCCGGACTCAATCAACAATGTTTTGTTCATCTTATCTTTGAAAGAAAAAACTTTTTGACGTGAGAGTCGTCTCCAAAAAGAATTTCAATCAACAATACTTTTATTTGACCTGAGAGTCGGTTTCTAAAAAAGAATTTTTTTTGTAATCTTAGTAGGAAGTTGAGTTGCTGAGGAGGAGTACTCCAATGGATGGTCCTCTTGAGTCATTTTCATTTGGTAACATGGATGCCTATATCTCCAAGTTGGTGTCTGTATTAGAGACTGATGCACCCTTTGACTCCACTACTGAAGAATCTGTCGTATCCTTCATCCCTCAATCAACTATTGATGAAGCAAAAAATTATTTATAAAGATGCTATCTAAGGACCTATCAGAAATTCCTGACTTCGCCGCACACATTACAGAATCCATGCGTGTCTTGTCAGAGTGCCATGACCTTACTCCAGCCCAGCTTGAACAGCTGAATGCCCTTAAGGTTGAGTTTCCATCAGTTCTCAAACTTTGACTTCCAACCATTCTTTGAAGGAGGTCGAGAAAAAAAAATAGCAGAAAAGCGAGGAACAAAGAAGTGTTTGGTTGAGCAAGTAAAGATTAATGCATTCGCGTTCAAAATGCAGAGAGCTATTCACGAGGACTTGATCTCGGAGGAGGCAAAGCTTCAACAAGAGGTTAAGCGGCTGCAGGCTGAACTGGCAAAGATCTCCGAGAAGAAGAAAAGTGCTGAGAAAGAGATCAAGCAACTGCATGGGAAGATGGTTAATCTAGAACAGTCTAGATCCTCTGTTCTTGAGGAGATCTCAACCCTTGAGACCGAGAAGAAAACTGCAGAGAGCTCTGTGTCATGGGTCCAGCAAATGTGGACTCAGCTTAGAGACACATTCATGATACCAAACAATTAATCACTTTTTAGCAAGATGAAAAACTTTTGTTGGTCTACTGTTATATTTCTCTCTATTTACATTCTAACTTAAATATCATATTTTTGGATATTTTAACTTATTTCTGGTCTGTTGGGGTCAATATTCTTATACTTTTAGTCCTTCAATTCTACTTTAAATGGCACTTGTTTCAGGATTAATGAATGTGATTATCTTTTTTACGTTAGACCCATCTTCTTTTTATTTATATTTTTTTAATTTGGTTCTATTATTGATCTATATCAAGCCTTTTCATGGGGTTGGTCTCTTCAGGTAAGCCTTTTCACAGTCAGAATTAATACTTGGCTGATTGTAAGCAGAAGCAGCTTGGCCATTTTGAACTTGTCTTCAATAAATAAAAAGAATTTCTAACATGTTTGAGCCCAAAATCTTTAACTAATCAAAATCTTTTAAGTTTAAATTAAACAAGATTATTATTTTAGTAATTATTTAATTTATCATTTAAAAAGTGACAATTAAAAGTATTAGCATATATTATATTGTTATTGATATTGAAGATCTCATAAATTTAAGGGCGGATTCAAAAATTGTTGATGGAGTGGGATAATATTTCTTTGGATGGGCTAATACTATTTTTATTTTTTTATTTTTATATATTTTTTTTGAACTGGGCTAAAATTGCCTATACTAAAACATAAATAAGTAAATTTTTGGGATGGGCTTGAGCCCACCCCTACATTTGCCCTGAGTCATAATACTTAAGTTTGGTTCGCCAATAAACATTATTATATAATTATAAATATTTTTCTTAAAAATGTTTGACAAAATTTTTTCTTATATTTTTATAGCTCCCCCCTACAATACCTCTCTATTTGATCAGGTTTGGGAGGGAAAATAAATTCTTTTTCTTAATTATAAAGTAATAAACAATAATTTCATTTTAAAATTTAAATTAACAGATGTCAAATGTAATAATGACACCAAATGTATTATAGTCTAATGGTACTTCGTAGAAGGTTGGGGGTTCAAAACTTTAAGTATCCAAAAAATACAAACGGGATGTGTAAGTGTATTTTTTGAGTCTTGCTATTCGTCCCAACCCTATATATTATTTAGCTCGAATCTCTTGATAAGTTAGAAAAGCTGAGCATGGGTTTGGCTCATTATTATTTTAAAAAATTGGTTTAAATTCAATTTGAGCTTGTGTTCAAAATTGTTTTTGTTTGTTCATGAAATTATACATGAGCTTAAATTGATGATCTTATTCCACCATATATAATTTTATATTGGTGATGGTGTTTATGGCTCTATATTCATGAACACATGCAAGTGATCACAAACCGAGCCAAATAATATTCAGTATCCATTTGCTTACTAGCTGAACTTGAAAATCAAGTTAAAACTAGGCAAATAAGTATTCACTGATTTTTAAATGAGTCCATTACGAATAGTTCATAAACTGTTTGGTTTATTTGTAACTCTAACCCTTGATATCAAAATATAAACAATAAAGCGCATAAATCTTACCTAGAATTTTTTTTTAAAGCATTGCAACTTCCGAAAAAAAAGAAAACAGTATTTTAGGACTGCTACCTTATCCCTCTACATTCCAACATATTCAAGCAATTCTAACATAATCCATGGCAGGTATTGCCTTTGATGTAGTTTTCAAATTTTGCGTTTAGTTGAGTTTCAATAGAATTAATTCACCCAAATCAAAGTCAAGTAGATTATGTGTTTGTTTATGGGTCTGTTTGGAGTAGAATTGATTCAATTGATGGGTTTTGATTCCTTTTATTGTTGTTCTAAAATCATTGTTTGTTGTACCAGCAAAAACTGCTAACACAGCGCGGTTAACAGGATGTTTAGAGTGCTGAATAAATCTATGCTTCACTATCTTCTTACTAAAAAGTGACTCAACCTTTGATATATTTCTTGAAAAATGATTTTAAAATTGATTTTTGAATAGTTGACGATGTTTGAGTTTATCCACTACATCGGGATGCATATCGACTAAAAAAATAGGTTCCTGTAGCATTGCAACTGCTTTTACCAATGGACGAAGCAATCCGTTGCATACTTTAGTGGCGATTGAGAACTTTACGAGTCTGAATGTGTGTTTTACGGGTTGTGGAGGCAAAATATATAGGTGGCATAAGTTATAATGCTTTAAAAAGTAGAGGGCGGCGACCACAGTAAAAAGTTGGGACTTTCTTTGTATTCAAATTGTAAAGCATTAACCTTCCAGAAAAAACAAGAAGGTAAAAGCATTAACTTTTAAAAAAGAAAAGAAAAAGAAGGTAAAACATTTAAAAAAAAAAAAAACATTTACATTTTTTAAAAAAAAAAACTGCTTTTTTCCATAATATTTAGGACCCTCTAGATTCCAACCCACTTTACTTTTGTGTTGAAGTATCAAATTTTCTCATTCTCATTCGAGGACAATCAACCCTCACCCCATGGAAGGTATTACCTTTAATCTAATTTTCAAATTTTAGTTTCAATTTAACTAATTCAGGGAAAGTCATGTAGATTATGTGTTTTGTATCTGTGTCAGTGTGTAGTAGATTTGAATCATTTGATTCCATTGTAGGGTTTTGATTTTTTGTCCTTTTAATATTTTGTTGTTCTTCTAAAATCATTGCTTGTTGCATCAGCAAAAACTGATAATACAGTACGGTTAACATGGACGATTGAGAACTTTACAAGGCTGAATACCAAGAGTGTATACTCTGAAAGTTTCTATGTTGGAGGATACAAATGGTAATTTTAATCTCTACCCTCTTTCTAGATTTTGATTTTGATCTTATGATTCATGTTTAAGATTTATTTTCTGCATTGTGTGAAAAAGGCGGGTGCTTATATATCCAAAGGGGAACAAGAATTCGGACCATTTTGCGATTTATTTAGATGTTGCGGATTCAGAAACTTTGCCATATGGGTGGACTAAACACATTAAATTCAGCGTATCTGTGATCAATCATATTGATAACAAGACCACAGTAAAGAAAGGTGTGTTCTTTTAGCTTATAAATATGTATATGTATATCTATATGTACAAACACATAGGCTTATATGTTGGAATATATACAAACACAAATCCTGCAGCCTTTCTTGGAAGTCTTATATATGTTTAATGCATTAAACGTCTGTAATGAAATGCAATCACATGTTGAAGGGCATGGAAATATATTTTTTATTTTATAATTTTCAGGCTAGAAGGTATATTGGAGACAAAACTGATTTTGTTGATGCATTGACTGTAGTCACAAGTCAGTGGATGGTGAGATATTATATGTTTTCTTATTTTGGTGTGAGGGGAATCATGGCTGTGGAAATTATAATTGGAAAAGACTTTTTTTTTTATCCTTGGAACATATAGTTCAACGATGTGTTTATTCCATTCATGACACTAAAGACAGTCTCAATTTGCTTGATGTTGATTTTTCTTCTTTCATCCTCTCATTTTTCAGAAAGGGGTACATTTAGGAAATTCTATTGAAAACACCATTTATTTGGTGCTGGAAAATGTGAACTTGGTATTATGTTCTTTTTTGTTCTCAATGTAGTGCATTCTAGTTTTCGGATGGTGATTATTCTCGCTCCCTTTACTATTGATAATTTTGTTGTGTTTCTATCATTGTTGTTGTTGTTGTGGGATTGGGAGGGGACATTGTTGAAATTTTAATGTTTACATGATCCCGGGCCAATCATGTCACACTTAAATAAATGTGTTAGCTTTATATCACTTTTTGTTTATGTGTCAGCATGTGTGTTAGAGTTGCACTGCACAATCAACCGAATTTGATTCCAGTTGTTGTGGCAGAAATGTAAAATAACAATGTACGCTGTTTGAGGAATAATCAAGCAATCACAAAAAAAAAAAAATCACACACAAGAACACAAGATATATATGGTTCACCCAAATCTTATGGCTACGTCCATGTAGCACACCGAACAAATTCACTATGAAAAAGATGAAGAATTATAAGGATAATTTTCTCTCAATCTTTCTCAATCGCTCTTTCTTGTGTTGGCACAAATTTTTCTCACTTCTTCACACCCTCTTAAATCTGATTAGAGTTGATATTTATAGAGTCCCTAAACTTGTCCTACAAGAATTTGCCTTTTGTGGAATCCAAAACCAATAAGGAATTTAAATCAGATCAGAAAACTGAATTTTCCTTAAACCAATAAGAAAGTTAAACCAGATCAGGAAACTGAATTTTTCCTAAACCAATAAGAAAGTTAAATCAGATCAGGAAACTATTTCAGCAGTCTTGAAGTTTCCATATAATTAAATCTTCCTAAAAAAAACAATTACCTAATCAGACTCCACAAAACCACAACAATCTCCCACTTGGAGGCTAGAGCACTTGTAAATCCATTCCATCTTCTTCTCATGCATGTCCCATGCATGTCGGTGTGCTTCTATCTGTCTTCAAGCTAGAAGACCAATTGAAGTTGCGCACATTTTCAGTTTCTCCATGGTCACTGTCTTGGTCAACATGTCAGCCGGATTCTTGGTGCCAAGTGTTTTCTCAAGTGTCAACACCCCATCTTCTAACAAAGATTTGAGGAAGTGATACCGAAGTCCTATATGTTTGGTCCTTGAATGAAATGCTGAATTCTTTGCCAGATGTATCGCACTTTGACTATCACTGTGCAAAACATTATTCACCTGTTCGAATCCCAACTCTGTCAACAAACCTGGTAACCAAATCATCTCCAAACTGGCCTCTGTCATCGTCACATACTCTGCCTCTGTAGTAGATAACGCTACAATCCTCTGTATTTGCGAAACCCAACTAACTGCAGTTGTACCCACCATGAACACATACCTGGTAGTACTTCTTCTATGGTCCACCTCACCAGCAAAGTCTAAATTTACATAACCATGTAGCTTCACTTCGCTCTTTCTGAAACATAAGCATTTGTCTGTGGTACCCCGTAGATATCTCAATATCCACTTTACTGCTTCCCAGTGTAGCTTGCCCGGATCCTTCATGAACCTGCTTACTGCTCCCATTGCATATGCAATGTCCGGTCTTGTGCACACCATGACATACATCAAACTTCTAATGGCTGAGGCATACGGAATTTTAGCCATGAAATTTTTCTCATCCTCTGTCTTCGGATACTGATCTTGAGATAATCGGAAGTGATTAGTTATGGGAGTACTCACCGCCTTAGCATTATTCATATTGAACTTCTTCAGAACCCGTTCAACGTACTCAGCCTGAGACAACTGCAAAGTACCTTTCTGTTTGTCTCTGCTAATCCTCATCCCAAGAATCTGCTTCGCTACAACAAGATCCTTCATCTCGAATTCACTAAACAACTGCTTCTTCAATATGCTGATTTCTTCAAAATCAGAACCTGCTACTAACATGTCATCAACATAAAGTAGAAGGATAATGAAACTTGACTTAAACCTCTTAAAGTAACAGCAATGGTCAGCGTTGCACTTGTTGTAGCTATGTCGATTCATAAAACCATCAAACTTCTTGTACCACTGCCTCGGGGCTTGCTTCAAACCATACAAACTTTTCTTCAACTTGCACATTAGTTTCTCTTTCCCTTTGACTGAGAAACCCTCCGGTTGTTGCATGTAAATCTCCTCCTCTAGGTCACCATGGAGGAAAGCAGTTTTGACATCTAACTGCTTAAGGTGCAACCCCTCTGCTGCAACAATGCTAAGAACTGAGCGAATGGTACTCAGTTTCACAACCGGGGAAAAAATGTATGTGTAGTCAATGCCTTACTTTTGTTGAAAGCCTTTGACCACCATTCTCGCCTTGTATCTTTTGGAACCATTATGTTCCTCTTTCACCCTGTACACCCATTTGTTGTGAAGAGCTTTCTTCCCCACGAGCAACTTGGCTAGTTCCCATGTTTTGTTGGAGAAGAGGGACTTCATCTTATCTTCCATTGCAAGCTCCCACTTACTAGCATCTTCAACCTGACATGCTTTATCATAGCATTCAAGCTCACCATCATCTGTGAGCAACATATAATCCAAATATTTCCTATTCGGTACATGAGGTCGCGTAGACCTTTTGGGTGCAGGCTTAGGAGTTAGAATCTGCGGTGAACTATGCTCTGTGAATTCTGGCCAAGAACCCTCATTTGTCTGCTCCGCATCAATGCTCTCTGGATCACCATCCAACTTAACAAACTCAGGCTTACTCTATATAGGACTAGTTAACTGTGTTGCATCTCTATCTTTGTACATCACCTTCTCGTTGAAAATCACTTCTTTACTTCTGATAATTTTCTTGTTCTGATTATCCCAGAGTCGATAACCAAACTCGTCTCTACCATACCTAACGAAGATGCATTTTAGTGACTTGGGGTCGAACTTTCCCCTAGCATGGTCACTAATATGCACATATGCAATACAACAAAAAACTTTCAACTATCAAAGATTTACCTCTTTGCCACTCCATACCTCTTCTGGTATTCGATACTCCAAAGGCACCGATGGTCCTCGATTTATTAGGTAGGATGCTGTATTGACCGCTTCTGCCCAAAACTGTTTAGGTAGACCCGAATGTATGTGCATGCTTCTGGCTCTTTCTGTCAATGTTCGGTTTATACGTTCTGCCACCCCATTCTGCTGTGGGGTTCCTTGCACAGTCCTTTCTAGTCTGATCCCATTATCAAAACAGAACTTCTTGAACCCGGTGTCTTCATACTCATCGCCATTGTCTGACCTCAACCTCTTGATCTTCAAACCTGTCTCATTCTCCACCATGGCCTTCCACTTCTTGAACACATCAAATACCTCAGATTTGTGCTTCAAAAAATAAACCCATACCTTCCTCGTGTGATCATCAATGAAAGTCACGAAGTAGGATTTTCCGCCAATGGATGAAACAATGGATGGCCCCCAAACATCTGTGTGAATTAGCTCAAGTTTCTCCTTTCTAAGATCTCTACCACTCTTCTTGAAACTGACCCTCTCTGCTTGCCCATCACGCAACTCTCACAGAAGTCAATATCAATTGCCCGTATGCCTGGTAGTTTCCCCTTTGAGTGCATAATTTTGAGCCCCCTTTCACTCATGTGACCTAGTCTCTGGTGCCAAAGGTTGTGATCTTCTCTGTTTTTAGCAACTGCTATAGACCCACAAGCACTGATAGTTGTGTAGAGAGTGCCAGATTTTTTACCACGTGCAATGGTCATAGCGCCTCTAGAAACTTTCCACGAGTCTCCATTGAAGGTTGTAATAAAACCTTTATCTGACAATTGTCTCACCGAAATCAGATTCTTCCTCAAGTCAGGGATGTGTCTCATATCCTTCAACTTCCAAGCTAACCCATTCAACTTGATTTTCACTTCACCCTTGCCAAGGTTACCTGGTTCATAGCTATTAAATAGCTCTTCGCTTGAAGTGTCATGAAACGATGCGCTGGAATCTAAAACCCATGACTTCGCCTTGCTCTCCAAAAAGCATATTAATGCATCATCTGATTCTTCTGAGACAACATTTGCTTCAGTTTTTCTTTCAATCCCTTCTTTGGAAGTCTGCAATCAACACGGTAATGTCCCTTTTTTCCACAATTCCAACACTCAACTTCACTGAGATCTATGGAATTCTTGAAATTTTGAGACTGTGTCCTTCCATTTCTTAACTTGGATCTACCTCTGTTTCTATTACTGTTGCCCTTCTTCTTATTTGAACCCTTGCCTCTGCTTTCAACATTCAACGCCGAACCACTGGTGGAAACCCCTGCTGTTTGCCTTCTGATTTCTTCAGTCAGAATCATGCTCACAACTTCATCAAACTTCAACTTGGTCTTCCCTGCAGAGCTACTGATCGCTGTAACTGTGCCACTCCAACTCTCAGGTAACTGCCCTAGAATTAGCAGTGCTCGGACCTCGTCTTTAAAGTCGATATCAACAGACTCTAATTGCCCAACTATCTCGTTGAACGCATTTAGATTTTCATTGAACATACCACCTTCGACCATCTTCATGTTGAATAACTTCGTGATCAAGTGCACCTTGTTTGTTGTAGAAAGCTGTTCATACATACTAAAAAGGGCTGCCATGAGAGACATCGTCGTCTTCTCATTCTTTATGTTGAAGGCGACTGATTCTAACAATGTCAATTTGACGGTGCCAAGAGCCTTCCTATTAAGTAATTCTCATTCTGCATCCTTTGTATCCTCTGGCTTCTCTCCCAAAGGTTGATACAGATTTCTTTAAAACAAGAGGTCTTCAATTTTCATTTTTCAGAAACTGAAGTTTATGCCATCGAATTTCTCGATTATGGATGTGGATGTCTTATCTGCTGATGCCATTACTCCCACTCAAACGGACAGATCTGATCGAAAAACTTTTGGAATTTCGTCAAACACCTTCTGTGCCCTAGGTTCTCAACCAAAGGCTCTGATACCAGTTGTTGGAATTGCACTGCACAATCAACCAAATTTGATTCCAGTTGTTGTGGCAGAAACGCAAAATAACAACGCACGCTGTTCGATGAATAATCAAGCAATCACAAAGAAAAAAAAATCACACACAAGAACACAAGATATACATGGTTCACCCAAATCTTAAGGCTACGTCCATGGAGCACACCGAACAAATTCACTATGAAAAAGATGAAGAATTACAAGGAGAATTTTCTCTCAATCTCTCTCAATCGCTCTTTCTTGTGTTGGCACAAATTTCTCTCACTTCTTCACACCCTTTAAAATCTGATTAGAGTTAGTATTTATAGAGTCCCAAAACTTGTCCTACAAAAACTTGCCTTTTGTAGAATTCAAAACCAATAAGGAATTTAAATCATATCAGGAAACTGAATTTTCCTTAAACCAGTAAGGAATAAATCAGATCAGTAAACTGAATTTTTCCTGAACCAATAAGGAAGTTAAATCAGATCAGGAAACTACTTCAGCAGTCTTGAAGTTTCCATATAATTAAATCTTCCAAAAAAAATAATTACCTAATCAGACTCCACAACAACGTGAATGGCCGTGGCCAATTGTCTCGTGACCTGGCCATGTAATATTTTCTCCACGCGCACACAACAAAAGAAGAAAAATGTACATATCCTTTCTCATATTGTTTCCTGGGAAAGTGCCATATTATATCACTAGTAGTTATTAAGGTGGCCTCTGTAAAGTTATATCTTCAATCTTAAATTCAATTTCTTTAACACCCTTTCCTTTGTATTCCACTTTCAAAACTATAGCTTTACTAGTTTGTATGATTTATATACCGAAAATATAGGCACACTGCAGTTCTAGTTGTAGCCTACAGCCTTCAACCTTGTGTGTTATATTTGGTGATAGTTTTGACTGTTTTCATTATGCAGACGCTCAACACCAGTTCCATGCCCAAGAAAGTGATTGGGGTTTCACTTCATTCCTGCCTCTTAGTGAATTATCTGACCCTAGTAGAGGTTATATCGTGAACGATACATGTGTAGTTGAAGTTGATTTTCATGGCTTCCGTTCAGTTGAACTTAAGGTTGAGGCGGCAAAGACTGCCTCGGTCCAAGTTCCGGTCAGCAGTTTTCTCTGGTTTCAATCAACAATGATTTGTTTTTTTATCTTTGAAAGAAAAATACTTTTTGACGGAAGAATTGTTCTTTGTAATGTTTGTAGGAAGTTGAGTTGCTGAGAAGTACTCCAATGGGTGCTCTTCTTGAGTCGTCTTCATTTGATGACTTGGATGCCTATACCTCCAAGTTGTTGTCTGAAGTAGAGACTGATGGACCCTCCATTCCTCAATCCACTATTGAGGAAGCCAAAAAATTCTTTATAAAGATGCTATCTCAGGACCTATCAGAAATTCCTGATTTTGCCGCACACCTTACAGAATCAATCTGTGTCTTGTCACAGTGTTGTGACCTTACTCCAGCCCAGCTTGGACAGTTGAACACCCTTAAGATTGAGTTTCCAACACTTCTCAAATCTTTGATGAAGTCAAAAATAGCAGAAAAGCAAGGAACAAAGAAGTGTGTGGTTGGGCAAGTAAAGATTAATGCATTTACGTTCCAAATGCAGAGGGCTATTCACAAGGACTTGATCGCGAAGGAGGCCGAGCTTCAACAAGAACTGGCAAAGATCTCTGAGAAGAAGAAAAGTGTTGAGAAAGAGATCAAGCAACTGCATGGGAAGATGGTTAATCTAGAACAGTCTAGATCCCTCTGTTCTTAAGGAGATCTCAACCCCTTTATTTGCAAGAAGAATAGCTTTTGTTGGTCTATTGTTATATTTGTCTCTATAGACCGTTTATATTCTACTTTTAATTTCATGTTTTTTGGATATTGAACTTTTTTCTGGTTTGTTGGGATCCATATTCTATACTTTTAGTCCTTCAATTCTACTTTAAATTGCACTTGTTTCAGGATTAATGAATGTGATTATCTTTTTAATTTTACCTTAGACCCATCTTTTTATTTTTATTTATTTTTTTCAACAAAGCTGACTAAGTTCTCAGTTGATCGTGTTAAAGATTGTTTTCACTTGTACACACCTTCACAAGCTTATGTTTATGAACTTGTTCAACCCTACACAATTCTTTATTAGTAAACATTTTCATAGGTTTATGTTCATGAAAACTCATACGAGCCTAGTGAGATCACTAGTCTGATCAAACACTATTCAAGATCGGCTTGTTTAACTAAACTAATTCAAAAATTGAATTAAGGTTCGATGTCATTTACTTCACGAATAAACACAAATTAAACTTTAAATGAGTTGATTAATGGTTCAATTCATTTGCCGTCCTAAGTTCCTAACCCTTAATACCAAAATATAAACAGTGTAGTAAATCTCTTTCTTTTATTTTCCTTTTTTTTTTTCCTTGTTGGGGAGGGGGGTTAAATTAGAATTATAAATTTGTATATTGTGTGATGTCATAAATGCACTCCACTTAAAACACTAAATGATGTTATTATATTGAAAAATGATACTTGTACAAGATAAACCGATTTCTCTATCCTAATCTATGTGACTGTGTTTGTGGATATGTCATATTACAATATTTAAAGTTATAATTATTAAGTTTCTCTCTATTCCATTTTTTTTTACTGTCCTTTCTCTTCTCCACCCCAAGAGTCCAATCTTTCTTTTTTTACCTTAGTTTTTCTCTGGTCATCGCATCTATCTTCCTCTTCATTCCAATAAAATTAATTGTATTACAAAAGAATGAATGTTAATGGAGTCCAAATGGTTGTTGAGACTCTTCTTATACATTTTTATGATAAAAGCATCTTAATAAAATTAAATTGTATAGTAGATAATGGATATTAATGGAGCCTGAATGTTAATAAAGTTCAAAGTGATTTTGTGGGTACTAATCTTTTGATTTTTGACTCCCCATATATTGTATTACTTTAACCTTTTGGATATTGTCTCTTATTTTACCATCACTTAAGTTTTTTTGTTTTTCTTCCTTAAGTCTACACTTACAAAATAGAGATCACAGATATTTATGGAGAAAAAATTGGAGATAATTAAAGAAGGAACTGAATTCTTAAATTTTAACCAAAAAAAAGAAAAAAAACTAAATTCTTAATAGAAAAGGAACAACTAGTGCCGAGATATTTATAAGAAAGAAAATTAGAAGTTCAATGCGACCCAATGCTAAATATTATCAGTCTTTTTATGGCAGATAGATTCTGTCTAACAAATAAATAAATAACTTCTATAAATAAATAAATATTTTGGGCTCGAGTTAAATGATACATCCGGGTTGGGCTCGAACTATCCAATTGCAACCCTAATTCCAACACAGTCTTAATTGTTCACTAACTTGTATTGTACAGTATATAAGTAAATCCCTCGCCCAAGGCCGAATCATCATCATCATCGTCGTCGTCATTCTCCGCTTTATCCTGTACAAACGGTGTCGGCCATAATCAGTGTTTAAGCTATTTTTCAAATTTACGTTTTAGTACAGTTTCAATAGAACCAGTTCACCCAAAGCCATGTCGGGTATGTGTTTGTATATGTCTCTGTGTAGTAAATTTGATTCAATTGTTGGGTTTTGGTTTTCTTTTACTGTTGTTCAAAAATCATTGTTTGTTGCACCATTAGAAACTGCTAATCATGTTTTGATGATTCTCTTCAGCACGGTTAACATGGAGGATTGAGAACTTTACGAGGCTGAATACCAGGATGCTATACTCTGAAAGTTTCTATGTTGGAGGATACAAATGGTATTTTTGATCCTTATGGTTGATGTTTAAGATTATTTATTCATTTATTTATTTATTTATTTTCTGCATTGTGTGAAAAAGGCGCGTGCTTATATTTCCAAAGGGAGACAATGATGCGGACCATTTGGCGATCTATTTAGATGTTACGGATTCAGCAACTTTGCCATATGGGTGGAGTAAACACATATGTTTCAGCCTTTCTGTGACCAATCATATTGATAACCAGTCCACAGTAAAGAAAGGTGTGTTCTTTACCGTTTAATTTACAAATATCTATATATCTTGTATATATATATATGTAATTACAAACAAATTATATACACACACACACAAACACATGTTGTGTGGAAAATATTATGTACCTTTGCAGAATTTGTGGTATATGATATTTTTATGTTACTTCAGGTTATACTATATGTAGTTTAACTTACAGTTATTGAATGTTACATATGTTAAATATGGTGACCCTCACATTAGTAATTTACTCATACGCTAGCCTATTAAATGATCTTGTAAAATTCAACAAATTTAATCAAAAATTATTAAGGAATCAACTTTATGGTAGTTGAAAGATTGAGTATCCATATGTTTTGGTGAGATTTTGTTTGAGGTTGAAAACAATTCATTGTCGCAATAGTCATTATCTTTACATATATACTACTGTGTCTGTTACACCTCTTGTTCATTAAACTGCCCGCAACTTTACTGTTACTGAGTTCATTAGTGTTACTTATCACCTGTTCATCACCCTCCCTCCATCGCGCTCCACGGTCATTTTTCCAACAACTCTATATAGTAAGTTCTCAATTGATCTAATCTTGTCTTGGAAACGAAACGTACGCGTCCTATCAGCTTACACTGATTCCAAAGACTCCTCCCCCTTGCCAATGGTAGAAGGCCAAAAACGATAATCTATAAGTCATAAGCATAGTTAATTACAGTCAATTAACTGCCACTCATATAGCAAGAATCTCAATCCTGGCAGCCTTTCTTGGAGGTCTTATATATGGTTCATGCATTAATTGTCTATAATGAAATGCAATCCCATGTTGAATGGCATGGAAATATATCCTTTATTTTATAATTTTCAGGCCCAAATGTAAGGTATATTGGAGACAACACTGATTTTGTTGATGCCTTGACTGTAGTCACTTGATGGTGAGATACTATATGTTTATTTATTTTGGTGTGAGTCCGGGGAATTAAGGCTGCGGAAATTATAATTGGAAAAGACTATTTGTTTATCTTTGGAACATATAGTTTCAGCAATGTGTTTGTTCCGTTGAATTTGCTTGATGTTGAGAAGAAGACTTGGGAATTAAGGGCCAGTTCTTGTTCTAGCCTACAGTCTTTGACCTTATATGTTATATTTGGCGATAGTTCTGACTGTTTTCATTATGCAGTAACTCAACACCTGTTCCATTCAGGAGAAGAAAGTGATTGGGGTTTCACTTCATTCATGCCTCTTAGCGAACTGTATAACCCTGGTAGAGGTTTTATCGTGAACGATACATGTGTAATTGAAGTTGATTTTCCCCACTTCCCTTCCGTTGAACTTAAGGTTGAGGCGGCGAAGGCTGCCTCGGCCAAAGGTGAAACTCCCAAGTCTTCTCAAGGGGATATCGATGGGAGCACTAGACAGACTACTTCTGGTATCGATACAATCCTTCTTCATAGTGATACCTTGGACCCTCCTCCCGCCAGTAAATCAGACACCACAGCGATCAAGACTTCAGTCCCACCAATTGTTGAAAAGGAATCAATGGTTAATTCCCCTCAGTCCCAAGTTCCGGTCAGCAGCTTATCTCCGGTTTCAATCAATTAACAATGTTTTGTTTTTTTATCTTTGAAAGAAAAAACTTTCTGACCTGAGAGTGAGTTTCTAAAAAGAAATTTTCTTTGTAATCTTTGTAGGAGGTTGAGTTGACGAGTACTCCTCCAATGGATGATCCTCTTGAGTCAGCTTCATTTGATGACGTGGATGACTATATCTTTGTAGAGACTGATGCACCCTTTGACTCCATTACTGAAGGATTGGTTGCAGCCTCTACACCTCAATCAACTATTGATGAAGCCAAAAAATTCTTTATAAAGATGCTATCTCGGGACCTATCAGAAATTCCTGATTTTGCTGCGCACATTACAAAATCCATCTGTGTCTTGTCAGAGTGCTGTGACCTTACTTCAGCCCAGCTTGCACAGTTGAAAACCCTTAAGGTCGATTTTCCGACAGTTCTCAAATCTTTGACTTCTAACCATTCTTTGAAGGAGGTTGAGGAAAAAGTAGCAGAAAAGCAAGGAACAAAGAAGTCTTTGGTTGAGCAAATAAAGAGTAACGCATTCGCACTCCAAATGCAGAGGGCTATTCAGAAGGGCCTGATCGCAAAGGAGGCCGAGCTTCAACAAGAACTGGCAAAGATCTTTGAGAAGAAGAAAAGTGCTGAGAAAGAGATCGAGCAACTGCACGAAAAGATGGTTAATCTAGAACAGTCTAGGTCCTCTGTTCTTGAGGAGATCGCAACTCTTGAGACCGAGAAGACGAATTGGGAGAGCTCTTTGTCATGGGTCCAGCAAAAGTGGACTGAGCTTAGGCACATATTCATGGAACCAAACAATTAATCTCTTTTTATTTGCAAGAAGAATAACTTTTGTTGCTTTACTCTTATATTTCTCTCTATAAACCATTTACATTCTACTTTTAATTTCATGTTTCTGGATATTTAAATTATTTCTGGTTTGTTGGGTTCGATATTAATCTATACTATTAGGCTTTTAGTCCTTAAATTCTACTTAAAATTGTATGTGGTTATCTTTTGCACTTCATTCTAAGCGGAGTAAACACAGGGCCTGTTTGTACTTAATTTGTAGGTATTTTGTTTTTGGTCGGGCACTGTAGCAATGTTTTTGAAAATAAGTGTTTGGTAAAAAAAAATTTTATTTTACATGGTGCCGAAAAATATCGTGAATAGTGACCAAAGATCGGAACATCAATTTGATGTTTTTGTATATTTCAATACTGTAGCAATGAACACTAAAAATAAAAAAATAAAAAATTCTTAAATGACATTTTTAAACTAACAGTTATGTTTTTCAAACTTGCATCACCTTTTTACAAAACATGTTTTTATGTTTTTGCTTTCAAAAATTTTGTAACAAATGGACATTATTAAATATGTTTGTGATTATTATTCATAACACTTGTTTTGTTTTGAGTTAAAACACAAAAGCAAAATGCGTACCAAACATGACCAATAAGTTGAAGAGTATTTTGGTTAATTTTTAATGGTAAAATAGTAATATTACAAGATTTTTTTGATGGATTTGGACGGGCATCGAAATCAGGGCGTAAATTAACTGTTTAGATTAATTGTACGTCTTTTTATTATGGGTAAAGTACGGAGACACCTCCTGAGGTTTGGGGTAAAGCCATGTAGATGAAAGTTGTAACGACTCAAAACTAATACTTTTTAAACAAAAAAATTCGGCATAACCTCCCCTAAAAATGGACCTACTGCAACCTGTTTAAATACATAATTAACCTGTCATGCAACTAATTTCCGAATTCACGGCAACAAAAGATAATGATACAACCTACTAATCTAGACAATGCTTCAAGTTAGGATTATCCTTCCATTCATCAACAAGTTACATATCATCAAGTTCGCATCCCATATATCATCAAGTATCATAAGTGTATTACATGATCATGGTTCTTCAAAAGAAATTTACATCATTACACCTTTGGAATTTTACAAAAATGAGGGATGAACAAAGGAGTAGTATTACAAAATAACAAGGAAAATGCTCCTCTAACAACTTTCAAAGTTGGTGTGGATTGTCGTCCACCGGTTCTTTTCCAAGACCTGAAAAAAAAAATATATAGATATAAGGGTGAGCATATAGCTCAGCAGAGACACTTAAGACACAATTCTTGTGTCCTAGTGAATCCAATCAAAGCATAGGCCAATGGTAGATAGGGATCATACAACATAGGAGATCAAATACAACATACAAGTCAATTCCAAGTATAAACAATGCAATGCAATGAAATGAAATGCAATGCATGTCAATGACACTCCCCATTCTCATTCTCAAAATCATCACTTTCAAACGTTAATACAGCCCGCTCTTTGGTAACCCCGCCGCGACACGAGAGGAGGATTGGCTAGTGTCCCTGACCCTTGGTAACCCCGCGGCGTCATTATGGGGCCCAGCTAGCTCAACCACGCTAGGGCGACTCCCTAGTCCCCTCTAGGCTATATTAACCTCCGGCCCGTTGGTAATCCCGCAGCGACTGGGTTTATCAAAACCAATTTTTCCAAACACATCGCCCAAAATTCCCATTTTTCTTTTCAAACACCAACATCCCTTCCTATGCAACCCAATAAAATGTATGTATCTTACATGATGTCAATACAATGATAAATGGGAATTTAACACTCTATAACAAGTACCATTTCATATAACATTATAGCATGCTTGTAGAATAATAATCATGATAGAAACTCGCTATATAAACATGCTATCCATTCAATCAAGTAACACATATTCACATAACATGGCATATTCTCAAATATCTCAGTTTAAACAAGAATCAAAGCAATCAAACATGTTGTAACACAATTAGAAGAGCATGATTCAATATGGAACAAGATTCCATGGCTTAAGATGTCCCTACCTCAAGATTGTACCAAAACCCTAGAAAATGGGTCCTCAAATTCGAGCTCCCAAAGAGGACCAAAAGCTGGAATTTCTGATACTGGCACGTAGGGCTCGTCGTGCTCGTCGTTTTGCCTCAAACGGCACCTAAATCCGGTAAGGATTGAGAGAGTAATCAAGGGTTAAAGCTTGAAGTGAAAAAAAAAGAAAAAAGAAAAAAGAGAAGGAGCCGAGAGACAAACAGAGAGATGGACGCGAGAGAGAGAAGATGAGGTTACAGTGAAAAAAAAAAAACATGGTCTTAACATTTGTGGGTCCCACTTTTTTTTTTAATATTTCTTTTCTCTTTTTCTTTTTTTTTTCCTTAACACACACCGCACACAGACATATATATATAAAGGCACAAACATTACACTCTCCCCAACTTTAAAAGATTTCGTCCCCGAAATCAAGACATACCTGAGGAAGAAAACAACTCTGGATACTTGGAGCGAACCTCCTGTTCAAGCTCCCAAGTAGCTTCCTTGACTCCGTGGTGTCTCCAAAGGACTTTCACCATTGGTATCGTCTTGTTCCTCAACACCTTCTGTTGTGTGTCAAGAATCTGAACTGGTCCTTCTTCGTAGGAAACATCCTCATCAATGTCCACATCTACCCAACTCAAAATGTGAGATGGATCCGGTTCGTACTTCCGTAACATCGACACATGGAAAATATTGTGAACCCTATCCAACTGTGGTGGCAAAGCAAGCCTGTAGGCAACCTCTCGTACTTGGTCCAAAATCTCAAACGGTCCAATAAATCGTGGCGACAACTTGCCACTTTTCCCGAATCTCATCAATCCCTTCCGTGGAGAAACCCGTAGAAAAACGTGGTCTCCCACCTCAAAGGATAACGGTCGTCTCCGCTTATCCGCATAGCTCTTCTGTCGGCTCTGAGCTGTAAGTAACCTCTGTCTTATCAATTTAATCTTCTCAGTAGTCTCGAGTACAATGTCGGGTCCTAAGGCGGCTGTCTCGCCTACCTCAGTCCAACAAACAGGAGACCTACAATGTCTACCATACAACGCCTCAAATGGAGCCATCTGGATACTCGCTTGATAACTGTTGTTGTAGGCAAACTCAATAAGTGGAAGGTGATCCTCCCAACTACCACCCAAGTCAAGCACACATGCCCGAAGCATATCCTCCAAAATCTGGATAGTACGCTCTGACTGACCGTCCGTCTATGGATGGAATGCCGTACTAAGATGCAACGCTGAACCAAACGCTACTTGAAGTCCTTCCCAGAACTTCGAAGTGAACTTAGCATCCCTATCTGACACAATGGTTACAGGAACTCCATGCAACCTTACAATCTCCTTCACATAAAGAACACCAAGCTTCTCTGCATCATCTGTTGCCTTAATAGGCAAAAAGTGAGCCGTCTTGGTCAATCTGTCAATGATGACCCATACGGCCTCATTGCCCCTTCTTGACCTTGAAAAACCTGTCACAAAATCCATAGCAATATGCTCCCATTTCCATTGCGCTACAGGTAATGGTTGCAACAAACTTGCTGGCCTCTGATGCTTGGCCTTCACCTGCTGACAAGTAAGGCATCTAGCCACAAACTGTGCAACATCTTTCTTCATCCCGTTCCACCAATACTGACGTCTTAAATTGTGATACATCTTGGTACCACCTGGATGAACTGCAAAACGGGAAGTATGAAAATCCCGTAAGACATCCTCACGACAAACTGTGGGAACCACCAACAAACCCCTGAACCGTCGACCCCTATCTGCATGCAAGGCCCAATCTTTCACTGTCTTACCACTAGAGATCAAAGCGTGGATGGCATCTAAGTCCGGGTTCTGCCTCTGTGACTCAATCACTCGTACAACAAGAGTAGGCTGAGCCACAAGACTAAATAAGAATGCCGACTCACTGCAACCATCATCATCACAACACTGTAATCCCATCTCTGCCAGATCTTCAAGTATCTTCCACTTCCGAATAGCTAAGCTGGCCAAAGTTCCACGAGATTTTCGGCTTAAGGCATCAGCTACAACATTTGCCTTGCCCGGATAATACTGCAAATCAAAGTTGTAGTCCTCCAAGAATTCTACTCATCGCCTCTGTCTGTGGTTCAAGTCATTTTGGGAGAAAAGGTACTTGAGACTTTTGTGATCTGAAAATACCTCGAATCTCTCACCATACAAGTAATGTCTCCAATACTTCAAGGCAAATACAACTGCCGCTAACTCCAGGTCATGAGTAGGGTAGTTGTACTCGTGAGTCTTCAACTGTCGAGACCCATAAGCCACTACTCTACCATCCTGCATCAACACACATCCCAACCCATCACGTGAAGCATCACAATAGATCACATAACCCAAGCCACGCTCAGGTATCACCAACACTGGCGCTGTAGTCAATCTCGTCTTCAACTCCTGAAAAGATGAATCACAGGCCTCATTCCAGACAAACTTGACCCCTTTCCGGGTCAAACGGGTCACAGGAGCTGCCAAACGGGAGAAATCCTTCACAAATCTCTGATAGTAACCCGCTAAACCAAGAAAACTGCGGATCTCAAACACATTCTTGGGTCGCTCCCAAGTCAAAACTGCTTCAACCTTTGATGGATCAACTGATACTCCACCTTCTGAAACAACATGCCCCAAAAACTTCACCTCCTGTAGCCAAAACTCACATTTCTCGTATTTGGCATACAATCGGTGCTCCCGCAAAATCTGCAAAACAATACTCAAATGGACCTCGTGATCTTCCCGAGTCCGTAAGTACACAAGAATGTCATCCACGAAAACTACCACAAACTGGTCCAAGTAATCGTGAAAGACGCGGTTCATCAAGTCCATGAATGCCGCTGGCGCATTAGTCAAGCCAAAAGGCATAACAAGGAACTCATAGTGTCCATACTGTGTACGGAATGCTGTCTTCGGGATATCCTCATCCTTA